AGTCATCGCTCGCCGCAAGCCGCGTGGCCCATCCCACTATGTTAGCGCCAATATGACCCCCTGTTGGGGAATCCCCAACGACGATGTACCCTGACGATGATGTGACCTGAACGAAATATCGTGCCCTACCTTCAAGTTCACCGCGCCGCCACGCCGCAGACAGCGTGGCAGCAGGTTTTTCTTTGGGGCACGGTTTTCGAGGTGAAGTTTCGTGGAACTTCCAGACTGTACCTAATGATGCTTCCATCACTTTCCGAGCTGATTCAATGGACAGGATTGACTGTATTCGAATTATGGCTGCATGCAGCTTCGCTTTTCGGTTGCCTGGTGATGCTGGTAAGTTTGTCTTGCTTTTTTTCTTCTCTGGTTACATTTTGACGAGTTATTACTAATACTGTTTTTGACAAACAGTGTCAGTTGTGGAACCTTCCATGATGGCCTTTTCCCAAAGCCTGACGTTGTTCTAAATTAGGAAAAACCATATCAAGGGTCCTTCAAAAGGACTTATAAGGACTATTCTAACTTAAGGAAAGGGGAGTCTGTCCGTTTGTAAATGTTTATCGATCGATGTTTATCGATCGCGTAAATGTTTAATTGCGATCTGGAAGTCAACCACTAGCCATTGAGATAAAGGCCTTATGCACGCTGATGAGTTCGCAGTTAAGGAGGGGTTGGGGGGGTCATATGTGGCCCTAGTAATTTTCCTTGATAGTTTATTTTTCCCGTTTCATATCTGACCCTGAAAAACTTTCCGTGTCCCGTCCCTAGTTTGGCGGTGCAAGTCAGAATCCCTACACAATGACCTCTATTATTGACTGTCAAAATTAGTAAGTGTGTGGTAGTGCTTGACCGTTTGGTTGAGAACGGAAATTTTGGAAGAAGTGGGTAGGAAGCTGGGAACTGGGTTCATTGAGCAAGCGACGTACTCACAGGAGGAAATCTGATTTAGCGGAGTCCTTATTTCACCATATTAGCAGAACTTGCCCAGCGACAGAACGTGCACTGAATGAGGTAGGAAGCCCGGGAGAGCAGAGAGCGAAATACTTACAATTAGGAAAATCACGCCAAAGTTCAAAGTTGCCTCCCTACAGTTGGGAAAACTCCCGGCACGCTGCCTGGTTGGAGAGAACCGAGAGCTCGTCGTCATCAGCCGAATTACTACTACTATTCCTACTCTGTCTGCAGTGAATGTAGAAACGAACTTCTGTAAACATTCTGGAATGTCATGACCCCCTTTATTTTAGCAAGGCCGTTACAGTGGCATGCACAGCTGCATTCGTAACCATAATCTGAGGAATTTTAACTTTGACCTTTCTTATTTCAGGCTCTAAAGGTGCATCAGATATGGACGATGTCATATTGGGTTGTGTTTTCTCCACTTTTTATCGCCAGTGCCTTCAACTCCTACTTCGTATTCATAATTTTCGTTCGATCGGTATTTGAGTACAAGGATTTCAAAGGACCAGTTCTCAAGTTCGTTCTTTTTGTAATTTGTTTTATAAAAACGTGTCGTATCACCTGTCTCGTTCCCGTTTCCGGTGTGAGCACTTCGTAGACGATTAGTACATTGCTGGTGCTAGTACCTCAGTATCACACGGAAAAGTTTTCATTCTTTCACCCTGGAAAAGTTTTCTCAACCCTTTCCTTCTTGCTTTCCCTTTGTTCTTAAGCTTTTTGCATGTTTCTCTGCCGGGCACGCATTCTTCTTCCATCCGGAGTTATTGAATGCGATCACCAATCCACCGTCCCCGGAAGATACAGGCTTGTCTGCAATTCTCTATTTAACATACGGACTGCGCCCGTCGCGAGCGTGCCATTTGCCACCTCCACCTCATCTAAATTAGTTCTGTTCTATCAGCTCGATTCAAAAGTCCCCGAACATCTGTAGATATCCTCATTCACATAGGTTTATCCCGCCAACTTCTAGATCTCCCGGGCAGTTCGAAGAGCTATTTGATAAAGAACAGAACGGTCTTTAAAACCATTTTCAACGTTTGCCTGAACGTAGTGGTTTGTATCTCGTATACTCCCTGAATTCACGCCCTCTAAACACATCTCCGAAACGTCATATTGTTTCTATTCTTTTCTGGCTTCAGTCCAAACGAGTCCCACTTCTACCTGCAGGATGTTCATAAGGAGAATACTCCCACTCGCAGCACCGTCTATTCTCGGTTCGCCGAGTTGAAAGGGGTGAGTATTCTACCGAAGATGATGAAAGGACAGGGAGGACAGCGACTAAGGACTTGGTACTATAGGAGCAGGTAGAGGCGGACCCATACAAACCACTCGTAAGCTGCCCGCCAAGCTTGGCGTTAGCCAGTCGACGATGATAGGAAGGGTTTGAAAATTTGGCCTATGTGTACCACATGCATTATCACAGAGGGATATGGATCGGGTGTTCGACACGACACTTTCTCTTCTCACCCGCAAACGCACGCACTCGTGGCTGGACAACCTAACCATCGGAAATGAAAGGTGGGTATTATACTCCAACACCCGCCGCCGTGCCCTATGGGTAGACAAAAAGGACAAGCAGAAGTCGTCACGAAACCTGACCTGCATGGAAGAAAGTGATGGTTTGCATCTGCGGTGGAGTGTTCGTGGGCTTTAAGTACTGCATCGAAGGCCCACCTCAGTAAACAGCATAAGGGAAGGCTAGCCGAAGTGTACTTTCAAGATGAAAGTGACTGTCCGCACATTGCAAGAGCGACGAAGTGTGAACTAGCGACCTATGGCTGGACCGTCCTTTTCCCACTGTCTGGCTTTCCAGACCTTGCACCCTTACTAACGATCCAACACACTTGTTATCAAAGACCATAGTAATAATGGAGTATATTTCAGATGACTAGCCTGTGCCATTGTTAAATTTATGCAGTAAATGAATTTTAAGGCTTCAATGTCACGACTTTTGACATCAACGATAAATAATTTGATGCGTGCTAGAATCTCAGTACCTGCGGAAAGCTTTTTCATTCTATCAACCTGAGGAGAATCCCACTCACCCTTCCTTCTTTGAGTCCCCTTGGCTCTTATGAGCTTTTTTTGTTTCTGTCGTCGGAGCACCAGCGATTTCCATTTTCAGAGTCGATGAATTGTTGAGATGCGATGTGGCCGGCAACCAATGAACTTTTCGGGTCATTCGATGTACAAGTCAGTATTCTTTTCCTCCTATACGAATCTGGCACGAATTTACCATCCCAGAAGTGAAAGGTTTGGTTTCGATTCGGTGTTTACCATACGGACTGCGCGCATTGTGAGCGTGCCACTTGCCACATAAACACCACCTCATGTAATTTAGTTTTGTTTACACAGATGAATAGGATATTCTAGAAAAGTCCTATTCAGATTCGGATTCAACGTCATGCGCCTCGCATTGATCGCCCTGTTTGAAGTGCTCCTGTGCTACAAAGTTGAAGGTGATTTCGAACACGGTCAGGTGGCAGTACGTTCATCTTATGGTATTGTTTTCACACCCATTTGGATACTTTCTCTCGCATTATGTATACAAACATGCAGGCTGTTTTGACAAAACGAAACAAATAGCAGCTCGTAATTATCCATTTAAATTTTTGAAAAATTCTCTAGTGATCTCATTTGTTAACGGGTAATGGCATTGTTTCAAAATTTCATCCCTAATAAATATTTTAACAACAAAGCAGTCTCAACGAGAACAGTATAAGACAACGACAACAGTGGAAAAAAAATTGAAAAGGAATTACAATGAATCAACAAGACACTCCGTACGGCAATGCATACGAAACCCGTAGAGGCGCGATTACACTACGCGAATGTAGAGAATCCACAATGGGAAGAGATTAGCTTTTCGTGTGCTCGATGGTGAAGAACACAGGTTCAGCACTTAGGGGAACCTACCACTTGACGGTGAAGGATAATGGGAATCGATTGATTCAGACCTCTTAAACTGCGTTCACTTGCACCACATTGCGGATTCTTCACATTCACAAGGTGTGAACGTGGCCTAAAGGTCTTAAGTGTTGTTGGTTCCAACAGTAATGAAAAAACAGTGCGTAGAAGCGAAGTACGATAGCGGGCAGTCAACATGTGGCGAAAATTCTATTCCTAGAATCAAATAACATGTACACTCGCGTTTTCATCCCTCTACATTGGCTATCCACTTTACCTGAGTCCACGAAAGACCTGTTTCTAACGCTCTATTCGTCAATTTCGTCACACGAATCACAATCTAAGTATTCCTCGCTCAAGAACTCGTCACGAGTGACTTGCCGTAGTTTTGAGCGGCAACTTCCTATGCCAAATGTGGTAGTCGGATGCGTCTGCCCGATCGGATTTTGCTAGTTCCTCCAGGCGACGTTCCTGAAAGTAACATCTCGTCAGTTAGATCTGTCTATCTTGAACTGATAGTACTTGATACTACAGCATGTTCACGAGTATTTTGTGGTCCAGTGGCACGCTCCGCATTCAGAAACAGTGAGTTGTGCGGCTCAAATACTATTGACAAGATGGTAAATACCACAGAATCGAAGAAAAATAAGTCAAGAAATCAATCAAATTGGAAGCCACTCGGAGTGCTCCATGTAGAACCCCATTTTGAACCGCGCTCGTTCCTCCAAGAGGCGAAGAATGTGGGTCAACTCTCTCTCTCTCTCTCTCTCTCTCTCTCTCTCTCTCTCTCTCTCTCTCTCTCTCTCTCTCTCTCTCTCTCTCTCTCTCTCTCTCTCTCTCTCTCCAGGAAACCTTTAGAAATGAGAGTTGAGTATAGCCTCAGCCAGCGGGCGGAGTCAAAGCCTCGTCGCGAGCGTATCGCGCTTCCCTCACGTAATTTGAGCTGCAAAGGTCCATCCTACTCCATTCTAGCGCAAACTGCTATATCCCAAGAAGATGTCTAAACATCAAATGGACGCGTAGTGCGCCAAGTTGTAGCCAACAGGAAAAAAAAACTGGAAACACTACGGCAAGGGTACCGCTTACGCGGAAGGTGTCTCCACATGCTCCTAGCAGGAAAATGCCTGGAATTCTTAGCCTGGCACGTAGTTCAAACTTCTAGTGGAAGTGATCCTCCATCAATGATTCTCAGCCTCTGTACTCTTCAAGAACCCATAAAGAGAGGAAGAAACTTAGGTACAAGAAAAGTCTGCATACCTCATTTCTATCTTGTCTTCTGGTCATTCTTTGATTGATCTGCAAAGTTAAAAGTTTTTTTGTTATTCAGATCATATAAGAACGTTGAAAACTACTCGAAGTTCAATTTTGTCTTGCATTAGCTTTATACACAATCTTGCAATGTTGATGGAGTCGTCGAGACCACAATGCTTTTGTCCTTCGAAGGTGAGATTGTAGTGGGAAAGCATATTTTGGATTCCAGATTGCTAAAGTATGTTTGAAAAGATAGGAGAGGATAGTTGCTCTGCGAATAGCCTACCCCATTTCCTTTCACCAGCTTCATGACACGTTGTTCGAAAATGCGTTTGATATTTATGAAGTGTCGGCAGTCATGAGGAATGGTTCCAAAATTGGACTAAAAATTGGAAAAGTGAATTTATGCAGAGTGAATTCACCAGGGAAGGATGGTAGATCGAAGTTGCGATTCGAAATAAAATGTATACCTACCGACTATTGCGGCTTTGCACGCTGATTAGGAATCCGCATTCTACAAGGCGTGTCTCCCTGAACAATGTTGCCGCAGTTCTTTGGAGAGAATGAGCGCAATTCGGCGACGGGGTAGGAGGGGGAGGGGGGGGGGGGAAGCAGAGGGCATTTGCAAGTCCGTTGCTTCACAAGTTCCGGTTCACAAGTTTAACCTGGTGAAACTGTGAATCGTGTGTAGCTTGGGCAAGGTCGTCAAGCCACTATGGTGGATGGTATTTGTACGATACTCGACACGTCGATCGTAACTAGCAACAGTGCCGCCCCCCCCCCCCGCCGAAATGGGCTAATGCCGTTTGGACTCCAAGAACTTCTGCACCAGGCGGAAATGAAACGTTTCTAAAAGCGTGTTTCTGCAGTTCTGAGGTAGACCACGTCTGCAAAGTCGAGGATCTGAACTCAGCTCTGTGGCTGCAGACACGCAGCTGCAGCCACAGAGCTGATTCTGAGCTGACACTGATGAGCTACCAGGACAGGCTTCTGAACTTGTTCAAATTCATGGCGAAAAACCATGACTTTTATCATAGCGACCCGCAACCGATACGGGATACGGGAAACGGACTTCTACCCAGCCTGTGGAGCAGCATTTTTCGGAACAGATATCATTTCAAGCGTCCTCGACCTTTGACCTGCCATCCTTCTCGGATTACTCAGCTGAATGTCGTAACAGTGAAAGAAACACACTAAAATTACACTGACCAATATGCACTGGAATTGGAAGAACTTCCACAGATCGTGCGGTCTGAAAATTCAACAAGTAGTCAAAGCAGTTGATAAAAAAATCATCAGAAATAGAATGTCAAAATATTTGGGCGTTCTTAGGTGGACGATCTCTGGATCTGAGAGCTGAGCGACCACGTACCTCACTTCGCCAACTGACACCTTCTCTTGATTCTCTCAATCTTAGGACCGCCCGCACACTCGGCGAACCGAATGCGCAGGCGCTCTAAAGATCCGGCGCTACAAGTTTCGAATTGTCAAGCAGCTCAGGTAAAGCAAAAAAACCAGAAAGACAACTTCCATAAAAGTGCTGCCTACTAACCCATCAGTCACAAAGGCATAACGGATGACCGTTATCGCCAAGGCTGTGGTGTGCCATCCAGTCGCGGAATAATCTGTATGCATCTCTGAACACGGGAGCAGAGTCCACCGTACTCTGAGAAATTCCTGAGAGAAGTATTTTCATGGAAAACAAAGTTGATACTATGCCGCAATTCGCGGTTATCAATTATCGAGGGTTTTTGCTCAAAACTGTGAAAAGTATGACTCGCTAGAAAACTTACTAAACATGTAAAGGATTACTGGTAGAAAAAGTACCTGTGAGCTGAATGCAGAAAGGATCAAGAATAGGATTCTTCTCTGGTCGCACAAACGTACGAAATGTGTCCACCTAAACATAAAATAAACTCTCGTATTCAAGCAGAAAATAAACGCCATGTTCATATTTTGCGACTGAGGAAATTCGGCAGATTAGGAGATCCAGCAGTTTGAAAGATTGCGCGACGGGGAAAGTACCGGTAATGGTCTAGCCGTTGGGGGGACTGAGCGAGCCGGCGTTTTGGGCGACTCGGCGATTGCGCGCCAAAGGAGTGGTATCGATCGGCGCCGGTCGCTAGAGATGGCGCACATTGGGCGAGCTGGCGTTTTGAGTAATTGAGCGATTTAGCGATCTGGGAGGCACGATGTTAAGAGCGATTCCGCAGCAAGGGAGTGCATGGGTAGTGATCCCCATCCACTTCATTTCAATCGCCCGAAATGTCGAGTCGCCAAAACGCCAGATCGCCGACTCTCTCCAATCGCCAAGTCGATACTATGCTTTCCTAGCCCAATCTCTCGAATCGCCGAATCTTCTCAGTCGTGAAATGTGAACGTGGTCTAGAGAGTAACTGTGGAAAACCTTACAATTCTCATTTGTCGGACATCAATCAACACGGCGGGGAATTCGATAATCTCATGGGGATAATCATAAATAACTTCAACGCATGTGCACTCGAAGTCGATCGCCTGAAGTGTTGTACTTAGACTTAATGCAAAAAACCTGGGCATCGCGGCCAATATTCCTCCGGCCTCTCTGCTTCTAAAGAAGCACTCAACAGTTAACTTCACTGACCACCAGAAAATCGAAGTGACGTGCTGTTTTGTTTCCAAAGCGCGGCATATTATCTCCCTCGTGGAGCATTCGATACATAGAGAATTCCTTGCGATAATAACGCCGTAGCCTTGCGCGAAGTTGTTTCTTGGTGCCTCTTAAACAAAACTACTGAGAAAACGCCAGCAATATGCTGTCTGGATGAAGCTTCAATCCTGACTAGGCCTCCGACTAGGCGTGTTCGGGTAGATTGGAGCACAACCTCGACAGCTTTTCCCATCAATTGTTGCCGCCTTGAGTCGCCAACAATTGGTGGAAAAGCAAGCCGAGGTTGCGCACAAATCCACGCCCCTTCACTTACCTTCTCGTTTGCAGAGATAGAATGTACGCTCAGTGGTTGTATGCGATTCGAAATAGAGAAAGCCTTTTGGTACAAAACAATGTACTTTCTCGACCGCTGTAAAGTCGTGAATCTTTCGAGCGGAGTTATTTCCCCTCTCCTCCACCGCTCAAAGATGGGAAGGAAGGTTTATATGGGAGGTTTTTCCTTGTCTAGAAAGAGGAAAGATAGGCATCTCTCCTATTGTTCCTTATGTGGTTGTAAGGGCGAGAATGCATGAGGTGACATGGCACGTTGGGAATCCCTAGCGAGGAGGTCGCATTTGAACGCTGTAAGGAGAGGAAGGAGGTGGGAAGTGTCTGCCCCTGAGAAAAATGTTTTCGGTCGCTGATTCCTCTCGGTTACTCCACCCCCCCCCACTCCATTCGACGGCAATTTTTTTCGTGATAAAAGGATAGTTTAGAGAAAAAACTCCCGAAGTAGGGAATTTCGAGACTTCAGGAAGATAGTAGGTAGAATGGGGTGGAGGGGGGGGGAGTAGTACGAGCGCAGGGAATTTTGAGGTAGTGGGTCGTTCTTTGCAACAATAATCAATAAAATTTCACCGAGGGCAAAACGTGCTCTGGGAAGTGATGTTCTGTATGGAACACCATGCCTCCTGAACCTGGGACAGGACTACAGCCTTTCTGAAACCTTTCAAAACACTGCTGGCACACTACAAATTGACTGCGAAAGTATGAAGAAAGGAAGAGCACTCACTGTCCAGACTGATGTACTTGTTTGAGAAAAGTGCGCATTTCCGCTGCTGTCAGTGAGTGTAGCCGTCGCATAACATCGACTAACGTCTCTACGTCGATACCTTTCGGCGGTTCTTCGTATTCCACGCGCTTCAGGATATTCTCAGGAGGTATTGTCGTCCGAACCTTTGCTAAAAATGATAAAATGACACAGCCTCTATTACAAACGGAGCTCACCTACCATATTTCTCATTTGGTACGTACAGTACTAGGGACGTACAACAGCGGAAATTCTTGAATTCACGCTGCCGCAAGAGAGAAGACCAGTGAAAAAGAACAAACTAAGAAAGAATACTAAGATGTTCACCAGTTCCATCGGGATTGTACAGCGCAGTAGGAAGCCCGCTTTTCTCACGTTCAGCTTCGAGTTCTTCCGAGGCACGTAGGATCTTTTCATAATACGCCGTAACCTCCTCGATAGTATCTTCCCCATAGTCATGGTAAGGTTGGTAACGCTGAAAAGTTGACTCTGAAATATTTCATACTAAAAATTACCACAAGGATGCGTTTTTAAGCGCAAGAAGAATGTGAAAAATATACAAGTGCGTTCACCTTACTGTTCAGGCAATAATTAAACAAATAAACATCATGAATTTATTCGTAAGCTCATAAAGCGGATATGGAATGCACATAGTCCTCTTAAAGCTGATATGGAATGCACATAGTCCTCTTTGAGAGTATATCATCTTCAGGACCGAGTATCAAGTCACATGGAAACAGGGCAGTACAAAAACGATGAAAATGAAATGAATCATGCAGTATCGTGACAAAATGTTCATGCAGTACTATCCCTCAACCCAAGCGTTTTCCTTACGGATTCGTGCTTCTTCTTCGGGAGTGAAATCATTTTTGATGTTGAAGGTGCGGCGAATTTCTTCTGGAGTTTTCCCATTGATCATATTAGCAACAGTTCGACAGGCAACATCAAGTAGGCCTCTGATGTCGAGATAATTTGCCGCCAAAATTAGCTCAAAGACCGTGCCTTGATCGACATTGAAGAACTGTCTGTCCCAGTCACTAATTTCTGTAGTCTTGGTTTTGTTTTCGTCTTCAACAAATGGAGGGTCATCTTTGTGATATTGGCACCAGTCCAACACTTTCTTCATAATAATCCCGTATACATTACAAATTGGGATAGGATCGCTGCTGTCCACACCAAGATCGCTAATCATCGTCTTGATTGTCTTCGACATATGGATCACGTCTCGTGGTACATGGAAGACGCATTTGTCCTTCGTCACAATTTTAATCACATCAGGGATTTCTGAGACTTCCTTCATCTGCACGTCTGCGTGGTCCTGAAACCTTTGAAAACCAAAATCGAACCAAGGCCTAGGACTACTGTGATCCTAACCTAAGCTCTAGATAACAAATTTCCACATTATTAAGACTGCGTTCGTACTTTGCGGCAGCGTCCACGAGCGTCCACCAGCGTCTGACAGCGTCCACCAATGTCTGCCAGTGTCTCGAGGTCCAGGGAAGTATGGGTATGGGTCTAGCATCTGCCAGAGTATAGCAGTGTCCGTCAACATCACCAGCGACCCGGAGTGGAGAGTATGGAAGTAGGGGGGCTAGCAAACAGGTGGATTAGGAGTCGTGAAATTGGCGTGTGCAACCGTACCGTATTACTACACAATACAATACATTAAGTTGCATAATTCTGTGACCTAGCAGTTGTACGGTGCGGTTGCACACGCCTCGATTTCACGACACTTAATCAGCTGTCTGCTCCCTCCCATTTACCCATACTCTGCACTCCTGGACACTGGCGGACGCTGGCGTTCGCTAGATCGATATCCATACTTTCTTAATCGCTGACGCTGACGGAACCCTCTCGAAAACTACAGATGCTCGCTGGTGGACGTTACTGCGAAGTAAAAGAGCCGAATAGATCTACATAGATAAGGCATACAGGTGATCGTCACAGTCCCACGGGCTGGTATCAAGAGGATTCGAATGATCCCGCTCCTAGCATTTCTTAATGATTGTTTCCTACTTGAAAGCGGCCACTACAAGTTGCGAAAGCAGCCACGGACAGCCTGCGCGCAACCCGACAGGGCGGTAGCAGGGGACGCGGAGTTCATTCCACGCCCCCTTACGTCATCGCAACCCGACAGGGCGTACCGCCCTGTCGGGTTGCGATGACGTACTGGCAGCTTACGCTCACAAGACAGCGGAACACATCATAATTTTTTGTGATAAAGCTCAATA